AAAGAAAAGAAAGAAAGAAAATAATGTTATAGTTGGGGGTCACCACAACATGAGGAACTGTATTAAAGGGTTGCGGCATTAGGAAGGTTGAGAACCACTGCTCTAGGCCTTAATGTCCCATTTGTGGACTGGGTACATCAACCCAGGTGGTACCCAAGGCCCTTTCCAACTCAGTCTGTGCCAACTTTACTTTCCCTTCACAGCTTGGGACAAGTGGGGTCCAGTTCAAGCTGTGCTAGGGTCAGATAAGGACGGCTGTTAAGGCTCTCAGAAGGAACAGGAGGGAAAGGAAGCTAAGCTTACTGTGGCCTCCGCTTCTAGCCTTTGGAAGGGTTGGGCCTGGAGCAGGCTCCTGCTTGTTTTCTCCACCTGTGGGTAGATGGCTCACTTTGCATACTGTGAGGTTGACATAGGTACAAAAAATACAGGCTGTCCGCCTATTAGAGATCATTCTGCCAGGTAGGGAAGAAACTGAGACCCAGACTCCAAGGGCTTGCTTGGGGTCATGCAGCATGTCTGTGGCACAGCCTGGACTCACCTGTAGGATTAATACCCACCTACCACCAGCTTGCAAGTCTCGGGTCTCTCTGCATTGCTATCCCTGTCATCCAGCCCCCTCCTTCCACTGACAGAGTCAAGCCTCAATTTCCCTGCTGGCACCAGGTTAGACATGGGGTTTCTAGGTCAAAAGTTTGGTGAGTTTTTTTGAACTGGGAATACAGGAGGAGGAAGGAAAGCTAGGAGGCACTGCACTTCAGGCCAAAATTCATCTCTCTCTGGACAGAGCAGAGGATAGGACCACCAGGTTGGGGACAGTACTGGACACCCAATACACAGAAAAGCTCATACTCAGGGTACAAGCAATGCAGGAGCAGAGAGAGGGAGAAAGAAAAGACCAAGGTTCATTGAAAAATTATTAAATATTGTCAGTTTGGTGGCTCTCAGGGCCTCAGGTGGGATCTTCTAGTCCCACCTGTCTGGGGGTTGGGTGGGCAGTAATAAGAAAAATGGCCCCTCTCGGTGCTTTCCAGTGTCGTTGGGGAGGCTGTCCTTCTGGAGCCAGATCTGACCTTCTGGGCTCATCAGACCCCAAGGGGCAGCTGGTCCTACTGCAAGAAACTTGAGCAGAGTCTCCTGGGCCCTAACCCAGCTCCCCGGCCCCTGGGGGCGGGGAGGAACAAGAAGGGAGGAGAAGGCAGAAGGCAGTAGATCTCCTCCTTCTCTGGCCCCTCCCAGTTACCCCACGTACACCAGCTCTGGGGCCTGGCAGAGGCCATAGACAGGAGCTTCTAAAACTTTTAGTGTATAGTAATCACCTGGGCATCTTGTTCAAAGGCAGCTTATGACATGGCAGTTCTGCATTTCTAACAGGTCCCCAGTGAAGCCAATAACTGCAAGTCTGCGGAACGCGCTGAATAGTTGCCCTAGAGATTATCTGCCTCAAAACCCGTGGGAAAGCGGAAGGCCCAGAGAGGTCAAGTGACTTGTCCACGGTCACACAGTGAGCAACGCCAGGCTGAAGGCAGAGGAGAGGGAACCTGCCACAGACAGGAGTCATTTCCCCTCCCGAGGTAGCGGAGAATCAGCTGCCGGTCCGGCCCGGGCCCGGGGCTGTGTTTGTAAACTCGGCAGCCTGGTGCGGCTCAGCTCTGGGCCCGGGAAGAGTGCCTCCGGGCAGAACCTCCTCCGAGTCTACGCCGGCCTCTCGCAGTTCTCCGCTGGGTACCCAGGCAGTCCAGAGGGAGCTCTGGACGCTGCGAGTCCCCCGCGGCGGAAGATTCCGCACCCTCCTCCCTTCTGAAAGCAAACTTCTCCGCCGGCGCCCTTTACCTTTTTGGGGGATTTGCAGCGGCTCAGCCTGCTCTGTTCGCAGCCCATCCTCCTCCCGGGGCTCCCGGAGGCTGCCTCTCAACTCCGGGGCCCCCAGAGGACCTTGAGGTCCGAGCTCCGCTGCCCGCTCCGCGCTAGCAGGCTGGGGCTGCCGGCTAGACCCTGAAACTGAACCTGGAAGCGGACTTGAGCCTGAGCCGGGGTGGCCGCGCGCCGTAAATACCCGAAGAGCAGGGCCTTCAGGGCGCCCGCGGGCTTCTTGGCGCTGCAGCCAGAGGCAGGTGACCAGAATATTCCTAAATGGTAAATACTCAGGCCGTGGCAGAAATATCTGTAGGAGCAACAGATGCTTTTCCGAGCTCTCAGCTGAGAAAGGGAGAAAAAATAAAATAAAACAATTATTTGGCAAACACAACAGCTACCATTTATTGAGGGTTGTTTCTATTCCGGCTGTTCATACGCATTTTATATCTATTTCTTGACATGCCTGTGTAACGAGGTAATACCTCCTTTTTACAAGTGAGGCAAGGAGTCTCAGAGACGTGAAATGATTTGCCATAAATCACATAATTAATTAAGTACTAGAGCCCAGACAAAGTCCAGTTCTAGCTCCAGAGCCTGAGCTTTGATTTAGTTGCCTATTACAAATAAATAGTGATACTAAGTTTAGTTGTAACGCCTTCCCACTTCTGGGTCAATAGCTCTTTCTAGGTCACACGCATCTGTAATATTCGATTCTTTCCCCTGGATAGATGCTATCCATCACCACAACCTTGTGAGGCAGATGCAGTGGGAATAAGAGGCATAAAATGTCAATGTCTAGGGAAAATAATTTTTTTTTTTTGAGACAGAATCTCACGGTGTAGCCCGGTAGAGTTCTGTGGCGTCACAGCTCGCAGTAACCTCAAACTCTTGGGCTTAAGCGATTCTTTTGCCTCAGCCTCCCAAGTACCTGGGACTACAGGCACCCACCACAACGCCCCGCTTTTGTTATTGTTGTTTAGCAGGCCTAGGACAGCTTCGAACTCGCCAGCCACATACACCCAGGCTGAGCACAGGGGCCAAGCCTTAGGGAAGGGAATTTTTATTTATCCTCTGAGATTTCTGGAAGTGGCAATGCAGGAAAAAGATTCCTAATTTTATTTTATTTTTTTTGAGACAGAGTCTCAGGCTGTCACCCTGGGTAGAGTGCCATGGTGTCACAGCTCACAGCAACCTCAAAGTCTTGAGCTTAAGTGATTCTCTTTCCCTTAGCCTCCCAAGTAGCTGGGACCACAGGTGCCCGCCACAATGCCTGACTGTTTTTTGGTTGTAGTTGTCATTGTTGTTTGGCAGGCCGAGGCTGGATTCAAACTCCCCAGCTCTGGTGTGTGTGGCTAGAGCCTTAGCTGCTTGAGCTACAGGTGCTGAGCCCTAATTTTAAGTGTGCATGTGTATCTGTGTGTATAGGACATTAGAAAATTAGAATCAGGCCCCCCAAAGGGGAGTTTTCTTGAGAAAGTTTGTTGATGTAAGGGACTTAAGAATCCTGAATGGTGAGAGACCTCAACAGAAATATCCTCTCCACAACTCTTGAGATAAAACCAACTGCAGAAGATTCTAAGAAAGGAAACTAACAAAATAGCTGACGTTAGGTTCCTAAAAGTAAGGAAAATATAAGAGAATGGTTCACAAAGTGTGATTCCCAAATCAGCAGCATCAGTATCAACAGAGAATTTTGTTAGAAATGCAAATTCCCAGGGCCCACCCCAGACCTACAAAATTTTGAGTCTGGGCATGAGGCTCAGAAATCCATAGCTTCATAAGCCTTCCAGGCATTTCTGACCCAGGGGAACATCTGACAACTCCTGATGTAGGGATGTGCCCAGCGGTTACTGAGCAGAGTGTCTGCTTAAGTTAACAGTGTTTATTAAAACAATGTTCATAATTTAAAACAAAGAAACAAACAGACCAAACAACAACAACAACAAAAACAACAAAACAAAACAATAACAACAATAAAAAACCAAAACCACAACAGCAAAACCAACCCAAAGCAACCTACATATCCAAGAAAAGAAGCTTGGCTAATAAATTATGATATATCCATAAAAACAGAATGCCATGTAAAACATGATGATGAGTAAAAACACTGATGAGGATGAATTTTTAAATGTTGTGAAATGTAACAAATCCATTTTTATTGAAAAATATTAATAGTGATTACCCCTGGCTGGGGGAGATTTTAGATCTTTAAAGCTGTTCTTCTTTTTCTTATATTAAAAAATGAGTGTGCATTTATTTCTATTACAATAAAATTACAATTTTAATATGAGTTTCTTTTAAAAATACATATTTGAACCCAAATTGTGATTTATTTTTCACCATGAAACCACGGAGAAGTCTGAAATCCCAAAGAAATGGAGAATGACTGAATCAACTAGGTAGAAAAGCAACATAAAGGGCAAAGATGGTTAAACTGTGAGCATGAGGAAATCGAAACCAGTATTAGGATCCTGAAACAGTGTTTCTCCTTTCTGAGAATTTCCCATCTATACATTGAGGAGTTGAACTTTTCCAAATCAATTTTGAATTTTAATGACATCAGTTACAAGTAACAACTTGGGGCGGTAGGTAGGAGGCAGGGAAGCAGGTTCTGTTCCTAGAGGTTCTGCTCTCAAGATGTCCTGCCTCCAGCCTCTCCGAGCCTTCTTGGACAGCAGGTTCAAATTTCCCACATTCCCATTGGTGACTTTCTGGCTATGTGCGTTGAAGTTCCTGCCTGAGAAACATGAGCGGCTTGAGTTTGAGAGAGTTGCTAGGGAGATTTTTGATGTTCGGTGTACCAGACAGGTTAGGTTAGATTTTGCTGCAACAATAAAAAGCATAAAAATCTCAGTGACTTGCCACGAGCTAAATTTCTGCAACCTACTACATGTCCAGCATGGACAGGCAGAGGACTCTGCTTCACAGAGAAATTCCATATTCTGTGATGCAGCCATCTCAACACGATGGCTTTGGTAGGGCAAGAGAAAGGAGTGTACAGAGAAAAGGGGATGGGTTCTTAAAACTTCCACTTGGAAGTGACATATGTTAGGTTCGCTCATATTTCATTGGCCAGAAGAAGTCACACAGTCATGCTCAACTTTAAGTGGATGTTGAAGTATCATGTGTGTCCAGAAGAAAAGAATCAGAAAAATTGGTAAATAGAAGTAATGTCTACCATAGTTAGCAATCAACAAATAGGTATTACTATGTGACCATTTCTTAGGCCAGTAGAGACCAATTCTTCCTGGTGTTTTCACACTTTTAGCAATGAAAGTCCCAGGTCTCTGGATATGCTGCAGTTCCAGCCATATCAGGATGGTTGGTCACCCTATGGGCAAGGCATGGAGAAGGTGCTAGAGAAGAAGATTCAAGGCTTGTTCTTGAATTATTGATGATCTCTTTTTTTGACATGAGACCTGCACATAAGGAAAAGTGGGAAATAATACAAAACAGGTTTTATAAAGCCAAGTTGTGTGCTCCATGCAGAAGGTATGAACTTTAAAGGGAGATAAGGGACCAAGGTAGCTGCGGATGGCCAAGAAGGACTTTCTCGGGGAATACTAAAGCTGAAGGATCTTCATGCCAAAAGGAATTCTAGATGTCAGGCTGGGCTGGAATCTGAAGCTTGGTTTCTATTGGTTGTATGTAGCTAAGAGACACTGACTAATACAAATCTCTTGTTATGATTTCCTTTCTAGGTGATTACGCAGTGTATGTGTAATACTTCCAGTGATGGGGAAATCACTACCTATCTTTCTGTATCTAGGGGGAAGAGGAGAAATAGGGAGGAGTAATTACAAGAGGGAAGAACGGCATGAGTCAAGTCAAAGGCAAAGAGAATTTCATGTGTGTAGGCAGCTAGGTTGAAGGTAGAGACAGAGGTTGATGGAGTGGACTCCTTGGGGGAAAGACTGGAAAGAACAATATGGAGATTGTCCTGAGCATCTTTTATGAGAAAAGCACATTACGCCCACACATAAAACATATTGCTTGGAATTTCAGGCTGTTTGGGACCTCCTACAGCCCACACAATGGGGCTATGCATGCATCCCAAGTTAAGAACCTCTCAGTTCAGTGGTCATTAAAGGTCTTTCTAACCCTGAAAGCATTTGCTGTGCAGGTTCTTCTGATTGAGCCCAATTGTTCCCTAAACATCTGTCCTCTGCCCAGAGTGACTTTCTTCACATCCATCTCCGTGGGTTATAATTCTACCGTACATCAAGGAACATCTCAAATGCCCTCTCCTTCCAAAAGCTTGGCAGCATTTGCCCCCCAGCTGCCTTTGCTATACTCGTTGTGTGCTCTGTGTGTCTTCCCAAGTGAATGAAGGATTACACAGCTCTGCCTCCTCCCTCTTTGTCCATCCCATCCCCAAGACTGCCAGCCACCTACTCGACTTCCATTCTTCTCCCTTCCTGAGTTACAGCATCCTGATATTCTTTGGGACAGCACAGTGCTGGGCTAACAGGGGTGGCCAGTGATATATGAGAGAAAATTACTGGTTGAAGCTTCCAGGAAAGCTTTTAAAAGGGGGATGACTCACCTTGGAGCAGAGTTCCCCCTTTCTTGCCCTCTCTTTTCCTGCCTGGAAGACAGACAGGATGGCCAAGTCCCAGCAAACATCTTATTACCTTGAGCAAAAAGACAGAAGGAGGCTCAATCTCTGAGGAATTTATGGAGTGCTCAAACCAGCCTTGATCAATAACTTCCAAACTTTTTTTACAGAATAAACAACACATTTGTTTAAACCAGTGGGGAACATATAGTTAACAATAATTTATTGCAAACAGGCTCCATGTCATCCTGATGTTGCGTCCTACCTACGTGCATGAATTTGCTCCATGACTGTTCCCTCTTCCAGCTGTTCAGTGGGCATTGGCCTTTACTCGTCAGCTGGATTATGAGCATCTTGGGACCAGGAGGCACATTTTCCCTTTCTGTGTACCCGTGATGGTAAACACTTGGAGAAAAGAGTACTAAAGAGCAACACGTTTTTGTGTGGAGAAACACTCGCATTCCTTGCCTACTTTATATTATCTTCTGCAGCAATGCTGGGAGGTGGACACAATCAGCATCTTCTCATTCTGTTGATGAGCAAACCAATAAGGCTTGGTGACTTCCATAACGCCACATTGCTAAGAAGTGGTTGAGAAAAGGCTCGAACTCTCATCTCCTGTCTCCTAGTCCAGTGTT